CTTTACTGGTGATATCATTACCATAGCCCCAAGTCTTTAACTATTGCAATTCACATGTCTTCTAGCTTTCTGAGAAGTGTTATTTGTCATATCAGTTGTTCTAAGATCGTTAGTGTCAATGCAGTCTGGCAATCACCACTGCAAGGACATTTTTATTCGCTTGCTACAAAAAGCCATTTGTTCTATATGGCTGATCTCAGGTGTGCTGTCTAGAATAGCAAATCTACTGTTACAACTTTCTGTTGGACTTTTGTCGCCATTAATGGTATGATCTCATTTTGTTAGCCCTGCAAGGGAGTCCAGATAAGTAGCACAACCAGGAGTATTAGTTCTATCTTTATTGCAAGGTTACATTGACAGAATCTTGCAAGACTGAATGTATTTCTCCTCTCCTTTCCTTTTACTCTCTGGAGAACCAGGAAATGTTTCTCACTCCATCCTCACTTCTGTGAGTGGAGACATCTTTTACAAGCCAGTTGTCCAAACTGCAGCTTTCTTTCCTGCCTCCCAAAGTCATTCTCAAATACCATTGTACATTATGAAGTCCCCCACCCACAAGTAGTTGTGTGTGTAGATGTTTTGGGCAGTGACTCTTCTCAGATGCTTAGACAGCCTCCCTCAACAGGGGGGAGGGAGTACGCTAATGACCAGATGACTGTAAAGCAGGGGTCTTCAAACTTGGCCCTTTTATGACTTGTGGACCTTAACTCCCAGAATTCCTCAGCCAGCATGCCTGGCTGAGGAATTTTGGGGGTTGAAGTCCACAAGTCGTAAAAGGGCCAGGTTTGAAGACCTCTGCTGTAAAGAACATAAATCCTTCTATTCCCCAATAGTCAGCTACAACTGAAAACGCTTCATGGATGAGAAGTGAAATAGTTTCAAAGAGGGGAAAAAAACAGCAAGAAAGTCCAGTTGCCTTTTGGAAAAAGCTTCGAACAGTCACTAAGTGAACGGTTTCTAAGTTGAGGACTACCTGTACTCAAATGAATCTACAATCCATCTAGACCAGAGGTCCCCAACCTTTTGGGCACCAGGGACCGGTTCCATGAAGAAAGGTTTTTCTGCAGACTGGAGCGGACGTGGTTTTGGGTACTGCCTGCATCTCGTGAATGGGACTTTGCTTGTTTGTGCGGACCGATTGCTGGCATGCCGTGGCCTGGTACCGGTCCATGGACCGGGGGTTGGGGACTCCTGATCTAGACTTCAGGTTCAACAGCAGCTGCTTGTTCTGCCTCCACCACACTTTTCTTAATTCTTCACTTTTCTGCAGGAACCAACATGAATGTGAATAGAATAGAAGCTGGAAGGGACCTTGGAGGTCTTCTAGCCCATAGCTTTTCAACCTTTTCACCCATTGTACCATTTTTAGATTATGCCAACATCCGAGTACCACCAGTTGCCTAGCAAGATGTCAAAAACTTGATGACCAAAAAAAAAAAGGAAAAAAGTGATAAAGTACAGGTAGTCCTCGACTTACAACAGTTTGCTTAGTGACTGTTCGAAGTTACAATGGCACTGAAAAAAGTGCCCCCCAAGCCACAGCCGAACAAGACACCTGCCTGCCCACCCGCCCGGCGGCGCTCTTCCTCCTGTCCGAGGTTTTCATTGTTGTAAGCGTTTCTGTTGAGGATTGGCAGTGGGGGTGGGGTGGGGGGTGTTTGGTTTTTATTCCCCCCATCTGCTGGATAGTTGCAGCAGGGTTTGGTCACAAGACTCTGGGACACTGTGACTGTCATAAATATGAATCAGTTGCCATGCATCTGAATGTAAATCACAAGACCCTGGAGATGCTTCAACATTCCAGCTGATTGGCGCTTCTTCTGGGCTCACCAAAAGCGCCAAGATCAGCACCGAGCTCCAGCTGGAGCCTGGCGCTGATCCTGGTGCTTCCACTGAGCCCTGACAGCCCTGCAGCTCCAGCCATCTCTCACTCAGGCTTGTGCAGTGCTGCTACCGGTTCAGCTCATTCCTCTCCCCTGCAACCACTTTTCTAGGATAGTCGCGTACCACCTTCCAGGTGCCAATGTACCACAGGTGGTACCCGTACCACTGGTTGAAAAGCTCTGTTCTAGCCCAGCCCGCCACTCAAGCAGGAGAACCTATGCCAGTGATGCACACCTTTTAGAGACTGAGTGCAATCAAACTGCAAGCCAAAACCCACTTATTTATTGCAAAGTGCCAAGGCTGCATCAACATTGTGATGCCCTCAGGGAAAACGGGAGTGGCCCACTGGGTGGGCGTGGCTGCAGTGGTCACGGCCCACTAGGTGAGCATGGCTGGGACAAGTCCCTCGCCATCTCCGGGGCATCCCCGGGGGGCCAACGCCACATGCTCGCTCACTTTCTGCCCTGTCACTTCCAAACGCCACATGCTCGCTACTCTGGCGAACTCTGCTGGGGCAACAGCACGCATGCCCACAGAGAGGGGTCTGAGTGCTGCCTCTGGCATGCACACCATAGGTTCGCCACCACTGACCTATGCCATCTCAGACAAGTGACTGTCCAATATCTTCTTAAAAACCTCCAGTGGTGGAACGCCCACGATTTCTAATGGCATGGTTACATCCACTTTAGAAGGAGATCTGGATGCTTGCAGTAGCTATAAAGTCACCTGGAAGATTAGTCATCTCACCATCACCCACACACTTGCAGGCGGCTGGGAATCCGGTGGTGAATATTGTTTCTGTGTGTCTGACAGAAGCTCGTTCCTGGTTTAATAGAAAAGCTTCTTATTTTCTGAACATTCCACTAAGAGAGGTGCTTCCTTTTTTTTCCCCCACTCATGGCTGCTGTACTGTGCCAGCTGTAGTGGCTCTCAAGGCATAGCTGAAGAGGATAAAGAAGCAGGTTGGTAGCAGGCTTGACTGGAGGAAGATGGGTTTTAAGTGGCCTAATTGGTCCCCACTGCTACCTCCTCCCTGTTCTCTTCACGTGAATCAGAGGAGCAGCAAGTAACTATTCCTCGGCCTCTTTCATGGCATCCATTGCCATTTTTTTTCTTTTATGGACATTATACAGTATCTGTCTTTCACCCTCATTTTGTGCCGCAATCATTCTCTTAGGGGCATTTCCCCCCCCCTCATCTGCATCTTCTTTCACTTCATTGTTCTTCCAAGCATCCTTTTTCATATTTCCCATTAGCATAACTCCACGTTCTTCTGTAACACAATTCTTTGCATTTTGCTCTGAGCAGCTTCTGCATTCTTTTTCCTCATGGCCATTTCCATTTGTTCGGTCGGGAGATTAATCTGCCGCCTGATACTTTTTTTATACGGGCTTCGCATTTTCCATCCCAGCTGTCATCTTACCTTCCCTCTCATTTCTTTCAGTCCCTCCTATTCAACACCTCTTACCCTCCTTGTAGGCTCATTAATTTTCCCACTCTTTTTGTCAGAAACAAACAAATCTATCCCTGCTTTTAGATTAATTCCTTTGACGTGTGTATGTGTGAAGGAGCTGATGCTTAAGGCAGCTATCTGAAATAAAGAGAACTATTAAGCACATACTCACCAAACCATGTGACTTTTATTGCAGGATCCAAACTGAGTTGGGCATCGGGACCAAAGGTTTAGTCTTCTGAGCTTTCAGATTCATGCTGGAGCCATTCAGCCGAGAGAGAAGTTCCCTCAGGATGGGCTCCAGCACAAGTCCAAAAGCTTGGAAGATTAAACCTCTGATCCTGATGACCGACCCAGATTGGATCTTGCAACAATATCCTAGGAAACGTATATTAGCCTTCATTCATGACTATTCATTCTTGGGTCTCCTTAATGGCCTAATTAATGGCTTAATTAATGGCTCAATCGCTTTTTCTGTGGTTTCATGTTATTCCCGCCTGCCCGTCTGCACTCATATTCATGTTTCTTATCCAGAAACACTTTCCCTTGGATGGCTTTCATTCAGAACATCGTACATTTTTTCCCCCCTTTTCCTTAGCTGTGCTACTCCCTTTTATTCTATTGGCTTTTGAAAGCCAATAGAATAGACTCTCTTGAATAGAGTCTAATTCTATTGGCTTTCAAAAGCCAATAGGAATTGTCCAGGCTGTCTCTGCCCTGCTGAGCCCGCCAAAAGTCCCATTCTGCAAACGGTGCTGCACCAGTTGAGTAGTCCTTGACTTACGACTGGTTGAGTAGTCCTTGACTTACGACCGGTTGGGGTCGCTGCATTAAAAAGGTTGAGAACCACTGCTCTAGCAGTGATGGTAAGACAAAAACTTTTCAGAATTGGTACTGGAGTTTACTTTTTCCTGTCCATACTTGCATTTCTCGCTGTGTAAGCTTTAGAGGGGAAGAGACCCACCTTTGTTATTCACGGAAACGTTTTTCAGTTACTCAGAATGGATCAGTAAAGAAAAACCCCTCCCAACAGAGCTGTGTGGTAATTTTGCATATTAACAGTAGTTAATCTGCAAAAGCTGACTCTGCAAAATCAGAGGCATCTGGCCAGCTATTCCTGGACACCTGAAAGCTGGACTCTCAAAGGTGTTCCTGTCTTTCTTTCTTTCTTTTTCGAAAAGACAACTGGACTGATTTTTTGAAGAAGAAAAAGACGTTTTGCTTTCCATTGAGGAAGCTTCATAAATTGTACTGATTGGTGGGGGAGATGGAAGACAGGTGCTGACAGTTGAGACTAGCTAGTTCATGTAGGGGGGATGGAAGGATAGGTTCTGGTGGGGGAGGAAAGGGAAAGGATTGTGTTTCTTTGCAGTCCTCTGGCTTTTACCCTCCCCGAGACTTGGGGTTTTATCTGTGCCTTCAGGGTTACCTGAATCAGAATCGCCTTGGAACAGCCAAAATCATTGCATTATATACTGAAGATAGTTGGTGTCAAAAGCGGAACTAAGAATGAACACGCAGTTGTCTTCAACAAGGCAACTCTGATGTGACTGCAACACCCATCTCTTTCATTTCCAATGAGGACAAAAGAAAAACAAAATAAAGGAAAAAAAAACGTTAAGGGCTAAAGTAGAATTATTTGTGCACGGGGTCCTGTACCTACTTCTCTTCCTTTGCCTGCATTTTAAGAGAGGCCGGCTTGGCGTGGTTTGCTCCAAAGTATGCAATGGCATTCACCAAGGAAGGCATGTCTGTGTCTCTCGGCAATTTAAGGAATTCTTTGTGTAACCTTCCATTCTTATACTCCAGCATATCAGCAGGATCCAAACAGGTTTTGTGCTCTTTCTTTGATAAATCCACTGTCTGTGGGAAGAAGGTAGGGGGGAAAAATGCTTATTTATAACTCTGGTATAGTGTGTGTGTGTGTGTGTGTGTGTGTGTGTGTGTGTGTGTGTGTATGTATGTATATATATAGTGTGTATATATATAGAGAGAGTTAAGAAACTCGAAATAGCTATCCCATTCTCCCTTAATTCGTTGTTAGCAATCCAAATTTTATAATACAAATGATGTCGCAGTTGCGACTGCTGCCTGTGGATGGCTCTAGATTGAGCTGATACAGGCAAAAGAAAAAGAAAGAAGATTTCTTTCTCCCATATTTGGGCCGACAGGGTGTATCAAGAAACACTCAAGGTAAATCTTCCCCCCCCCGTCTCTTCCCTCCCTGATACAGCTGACAAAGTGAGAAGGAGCCTGTGGCCTACAGGTTAATACAGCTGCCTAACATGCACACAGCCCAGGCTCGAATCTCAGAAGGGTAAGTGTGGCTGAAGAGAGTTAAGAAACTCGAAATAGCTATCCCATTCTCCCTTAATTCTTTGTTAGCAATCCATATATATATATATATATATATAGCAATCCATATATATATGTATGTATGTATGTATGTATGTATGTATGTATGTATGTATGTATGTCAGGGTTCGTTTAGGTCAATGAGAGAACTTATTTATAGATTAAAAAGCCATTTCAAAAATGAGTTGAGGTGGCGCAGCAGTTAGAGTGCAGTACTGCAGGCCACTTTAGCTGACTGTGTTCAACAGGTCAGCGGTTCAAATCTCACCGGCTCAAGGTTGACTCAGCCTTCCATCCTTCCGGGGTAGGTAAAATGAGGACTCAGATTGTTGGAGGCAATGTAAATATATATATATATACATTGCTTACTGGTGTACACTGCTTAGAGAGTGCTTGCACTTAAAGCGGTATATAAGTCTCATAAATAAATAAATAAATTTGCGCCAGACTCATGGACCTCGTCATGGGTCCTGGCCGGCCAATCAACGCTCTGGTCATAATTCCCATGTTACTAAGTAATTTGCCCTTGCTTCCCTTACCTGCGCATATATTGCTACTCACTTCCCTCTCCTCCTCCTGTATCCGTGATCTAGGAGTATACCCTATCTTACTCCGAACAGACACACATTCCAAATCCTTGGGTTGTTTCATCCTCTCACCCCCTTTACTGGGGTACTCCATCACAGTGGATTTTTTACTACTTCCACCTCTTTCATGTCCATCGTTCTCACTACCATCCCTCTTACCATGGGGTTCCGTATTAAATACCCTGCCTTGACTTATACTACCCAACGTTTCCCCCTCCTCTTTCATACACTTGGTGATCAAAAGATGGTGATTGTGGGATCACCAGGTGTATCGTTAATATATATATATATATATACATCAGACAAACCAACAGAATAATAAGTACAGGCATTGAAGAACATAAGAACTCAGTCAAAAAAGAGGAACCAACATCTTCCCTGGTCCAACACCTTAAAGCCACAGGACATGAAATTGACTTTAAAAATACCAGAACCATTGCCAAAAGTGAACATTTTAATAACAGAATAATCAGAGAAGCCATCGAGATAGAAAAACGCCCACACAGCATGAACAAGCGAGATGATACCTCCCGCCTACCAGCCATTTGGAAACCTGCCCTTATTGACAAACGACTCCCTAACCCCAAAATCTTAAACCCCTCTGCAACTCAGACTAACCTGAGCACAACCAAACAGAACACTCCCCCAGCCAATCAGAGCACAGCCAAGCCCCTAACCATTCAGAACACACCTCCACCCAATCAGAACACAGCCAAGCTCCCACCCAATCAGTTCATACCCCCACTGGCAGTTAAAAGGAAGAAACAGCTAAGACCACACATTGCTGCTCAAAGCACGAAGCTGAAAAACACCAGCCTGAAGATGACGAATGGGACTTCGTCGAAACGTCGCCAAGACACTTCCAATTTTACGCGGGAGAAAACCCGAACAACCAAAGACCTACATACAAACACCCGCGAAAACTCAGAAAACAAATATATATATATATATATATATATATATATATATATATATATATATATATATATATATATATCTTGTAATCATACAGCATTTACTGTAAATAATAATAGCAATAGAATTGCCTCTAGAAGCGGCAAGCAAGACAAATGGGTAGGAAAGATAATAGCTTATAGAACACAAAAACAACACATTATACGGCCTCAATGAACCTTGCATTCAAGGCTGTATCCATGTTTTTTAAAAAGCACTCCACGTATTTGAATCACTTGCCTTCGAGGCCTTAAAGCAGCACAAAAATAAAAGCTCAAAGGCTGCGAGAACTGTAAATATTTTCATTAAAATGCTACCTCAAGTTATGCATTCACCAGAGGCAAACGCAGACCAGTACTTTCAAAATTTCTATAGAGCCAATGTTAATAAATGATGAAATAAATATAAAGATGCAATATAGTAGTCTTAAAGGAGAGGGGGGAAAATCCTTTAAAAAAAGTCCTGCCGTACAGTAGTTCTACTGGAAAAAAAAAACCCAAAACAAAATCCTGCCATGGTACTGATGAAAAAGAATGACCAACAGAATCTTTTAAGAGGCAAAGCGAGGACTTGAAAAAACCAAAGTTAGATTTTATCGATTTCAACAGTAGAGACCAAAACAACATTTTCTCTCTCACTTCAAAATTGGTGAGACTTTAAAAGGCTTCATTCTGGCTGGATTATGCATAGGTTTCTCTGTCCCAGCATTACAAAATGCATACATGTGTGGATAATGTGATGGAACATCTGGGCCAGATGGTCCCACTTCTAGACTAAGCTATCTACATCTTCTTATGCTCAGTCTGTATTTTTATAAATAAATTACTGTTCAGAACCCCGCAAACCTACTCTTATTCCCCATTATTGGAAATAAACCCAAGAAAAACTTGATGTTCAAAGCTATGCCTCTCTTGCAGAAATGGAACAAGTATAACATTTGCTGCCTTGAATTATTTATAAAAATAATAAAGGCGGGATATAAAACAAACCAACAAACCAGCTGAATGTTTGGAAAACGATGGAAAAAAATGAGAAAGCAGCAAAAGCAAAAACAGCGGAAGAGCTATTATTATGGTTGATTGCACAGCCAGATGTTTAGGCTAGATGTGGCATATTAATCCACCTATCAAGTCTTTCCCAAGGACCTGGGAGAGGCAGATGTTTGATGATGTTAAAGGTATTGACTGATGGTGATTTTCTCAATGCCAGTGGTGTTCATTTAATGCCCCCAGATGCTTTGGGATTTGCACCCCATATTTTATCACAGTCGTTCTACTTCTATTTGCAGGAGTTTATATTTGATTAGTCTAAAGAAAAGAAGAAACAGGGGTGATGTGATAGCAATATTCCAGTATTTGAAGGGCTGCCACAAAGATGAGGGCGTAAATTATTCTCCAAAGCACCAGAGGGCAAGACAAAAAAAATGGTTGGAAACTGACCAAAAAGAGAAGCAACCTGGAATTAAGGAGAAACTTTCTAACAGTGAGGACAATTAACCAGTGGAACAGCTTGCCACCAGAAATCGTGGGCACTCCATCACTGGAGGTTTTTAAGAAGAGACTAGTCAGTCACTTGTTTGAAATGGTATAAGTTCTCCTGCTTGAGCAGGGGGCTGGACTAGAAGACCTCCAAGGTCCCTTCCAGCTCTATTCTATTCTACTCTCTTCTAGTCTACTGTCTCCAGGTATTGCAAGTCCACTATGTAGACTTTTTTTTTTTTGTCATTCTTATAGACAATTGTTAAGTCTGTTATGTGGCAGGTTTCTGTCGGTTTGAATTCTAAAGCCCCAGAGACTTTAGTTTCTTCATTTTCTATTACATTCTCTATTTCCTGGCCCCACCAATTCTTGCTTGCAAGCAAAGGTTATTTTTTTTCTTGCAGATCTTTCAATGTACCACTGTTGCTCCTTTATCATGCTATTGTTTGTAGTCAGGATAATTATTATTAATTCTTCCATTTGATTTTTTTATTAAATTCATATTCAAATTCTTTTATCCATCCTGCATTTTTATTATAGGACTTTTGAGCTTCCCACAGAATTGTTTCCTTTTTATTTGGCTTTCCATTTTCAGAATTTCTATTGTCATTTACACTTTGGGCAGAATCGCCTCTGGTCTGATTGAAATAGCTGATTTTGCTTCAATTTGGATGATTTGCGGCTTATGGTGTTCAATTTCCCCAGACACTGCTGTGATTTGTTGCTTTATGGTTTCCAAAGTTTCTTTATTTTGTTTCCTGGCTTTTTTTAATTAGGCTTGTCTTGATCCTTACAGTCATTCAATTTTTGCTTTTTTGTGCTCTTCAAATTACTTGCATTTGATCTTGTTTTTTTTAAAATCTTGGCCTCTAGACTGATCTTTTACTTTAGGATTGAATATGATTTTGATTTTCGAATTTTTATACCCAGGTCTCCTGTAATCACCACTGCTCTACTGTAGGCTAGCTGATTGGTCTGTTCAACAGATGTTATTTTAATACTTGCAAATGTCTTATTCCCATAGTTCATTGTAAGTGTTAGGTTTTCTGGGGCAGTCCTTGCTGGCAGTCTTTGTTTTTCTACTACTAGTTCTGCATAAGCCATAATTTATAGCTTAAATAGTGCCTATTGCTATTATTATTATTTAAATCTACTGGCGGTCCAACTCCAATGGACGGATTGTGGCTGGCATATAAAACTAAAAAAACATAAAAACAGCTAAAAATACTTGGACTAAAATAATATAATAAACAGCAAAATCAACAAAGCAAAAACAAGGACTCTAGACAAATAATAAACATTAAAGCTTTTATTCTGGAATAATATAAAGTCCAGATTTTTATCAGCCTGTACGTTTTTGTTCTTGACATCAGCACATCACATGTTTTTGGTTTTAAGGATGCCAAGTAACAGCTTTTCAGATGTCAATAGGTGTTAATCTCTGCCATGACCAAATGACCTTAGCCATGTTCTATTTGCACTGCATACCTGTTGTTTTGCTAATATTTTCTCTTTTATCTCTAACTCTGTTTGTACCTGCTTTTCCAGCACTGCAGCGTTTTTCATGATAGTTGCTATAGTAATTTCCTTCTGATGAAGCTCCTCTGTTAAGCTAGAGTTTTCCATCCTCAGTCTCTCCACCTCAGAGCAATGGGATTGCTCTTCCCGAGAACGTTGGTCCTTTATCTGCAGCAAACGGGGCCCGAAAAGTAACAATGAGAGTTAGCTTTTCATATGGTATCATTTTTCACCCACTAGTGACTTTTGGAGCTGTCTGTTCAAAAACATCAACCATGCAGTGATAGCATGCAGAAATTTAAAATGGCTTGATTCAGAATGGACAGCTTGGCTGCTACTCTGAGCGGTTTTATGGGTTTTTCTAGGTCGCTCCCAAATGTCTACCCCACAGGTAAACAGATACTCAGCATAAAACACGATTTGGATGGAATTATCCATTGCCACCAATAGATTCAGGATTCCAACATAAAGGTATTTTACTAGAAGAAATAATTGGAATAACAGCAGCAGGGGGAGGTTTCAGCACTGTGTGTGATTAGTTCCTTTACTTTAGTACAACTACCAGAGAGCCAATGGATATGCAGCTGCAAGTCGCATGCTGCGTTCCCACAGGAGTATGGAATGGCAGTATTGGTTGTTGTAAAGCAGGGGTCCCCAATCCCTGGGCTGTGACCCAGTGCTGGGGCGTGGCTCGTTTGGAACTGGGCAGCAGAAGCGCTGTGCGGAAGTGTGCAAATGAAACTGCACATGCATATGCACTTGCCTGCCACTTGTGAGGAACCATCCCCTCTCCCCCCACTCCCTGGCCCCAGTCTGCAAAGCCAGAAAGGTTGAGGAACACTATTGTAAAGCTTTCTTTAAAGACATGTTTGCACTAACAAAAACATGCTTTGAAGGGTTTAGGTCAGAAGTTCCTTTGGCTCAATGTCACAAAACGTATGGTGTATCGCTGTAATTATTTAAAAACTGAAGTGCTACAGCAGTGGTTCTTAACCTTTTTGAACAAATCGCCCCCTTGAGCCAATGAGGAAGTTGTCATCGCCCCCTCCCCCAACATAACCTCTCAATCACAACATAGGAAATAATTCTTCAATTTATGCAAACACTTTTTTTGTTTTCTTTAAAATTGTCATCAGGACATATCGATGCAAATAATTTATTTCCAGCCTTTTTCCCATATCTCAACTGTGTGAAAAATTTTGGTGCCACCGTCACTTTATTCCCAAACTTTGTGATACATATATTTCATTATTATCTTATTTATTCAAGACACTTAAATGTAATGACCACTGAAAACAAAATTCAATCCACTAATAGCGAGTGATCTGATGTTTTTGTATGACAGATATACAGCGATTCACTGTACAAAAAAGTCTCAAAAGTGTCCCCAAAACTTCTCACTCCATTGCCCCCATATCGCCCCCTTTTCGTTCCATCGCCCCCCTGAAAAACGAAATTGCCCCCTGGGGGGCGATATCGCCCAGGTTAAGAACCACTGTGCTACAATATTCCCCTCTCAGGAAGTCTGTACAGGTAACCTTCAGCTTACGACCACAACTGAGCCCAACATTTCCATCGCTAAGCGAGACCATTGCCCCATTTTGCGACCTTTCATCCCACAGTCAGTTGCCAAGCGTCTGAATTTTGAATACGTGACCCCGGGGATGCTGCAAGAGTTGTGTGAAAAACGGTCATAAGCCACTTTTTTCAATGCCGTTGTAACTTCGAATGGTCACTAAATGAACTGTTGTAAACAAGGATTACCTATACTTCTGTGTCAAATTTCTCCTTAAGCTGTGCCCTCCTAGATTGGACCTCTGGCTCCTCCAGTCTAGCTGTCTCGTCTTACAGAAGCCACCCAGCTATATCAGGGAGCCCACAGGTCTCCCAGCAAATGGCCTCCAGAGGTCATATTTATTTATTTATTGAATTTATTTGCCTGCTGTCTTGTAAAATAAACAAGTTGGCAGTCAAAACATTATATTACTCTATATTCAATCAGAAATAAATTTCAGGAGTAAATCGAAGAGAAATGTGGCCGGGGTATTTTTAAAAATACTTCTGAAGAAAAGGCACATTTAGTAGCTGCCTTGTTAGTTGTAGCTTTGACATTTGTTCTACTGTTCTGTTCTGTCCTAAGATTAGAAAAAAAAGTGGGGTTACTTTTTTTCCTGCTAACAATTGTTGGCGAAATGCTAAAAATTCCCTAAATTCAGAACGTTAAAACAAAAGAAGCAATCAAAAGTCTCTGAAATGATTTAGGGCAGGGGTCCCCAACCCCCAGTCCATGGACCAGTACCGGGCCGCGGCATGCCAGCAACTGGTCCGCGCAAACAAGCAAAGCCCCATCCGTTGGATGCAGGCAGCACACAAAACCACACACCCTCCAGTCTGTGGCAAAACCTCTCTCCACAAACCTCTCTCCACCTGGTGCAGAAAAGGTTGGGAGCCTCTGATTTAGGGATTTCTTATTCATCTTTACCCTGAAATTATATAACTGCACTTTGTTCTTTTTTTTCCATTTTTTTATTTTCTATTGCTAAAACATGGAAGGTAATAAGTACCAATAATTAGAGCTATTAGGTACACATGTCAGAGTATTGTGTACTCCGAATTGCTGAGGGGAAAAAAGGAAGTTTTTGGCTTTGGGAATGATCAGAAAATGAAAAGTGAGATCTATTTAATGTTGCAAGTTTACAACAGAGGTCCCCAACCCCCGGGCTGCGGACCGGTACTGGGCCGCGGCATGCCAGCTACCGGGCCGCACAAACAAGCAAAGCCCCATCCACAGGATGCAGGCAGCACACAAAACCACGCCCCCTCTGGTCTGCGGAAAAACCTCTCACCATGTAACTGGTCCCTTGTGCCCAAAAGGTTGGGGATCTCTGGTTTACAAGGTTTCTCCCAGGTAGTTGCAGCATTTCATTGTTTAGCCCAGGGGTAGGCAACCTTGGCTCTTTTATGACTCGTGGACTTCAACTCCCAGAATTCCTGAGCCAGCATGGCTCAGCTTGGAAACCTCTCCCTTTCCCCTCAGCATGGCTGGCTCAGGAATTCTGGGAGTTGAAATCCACGAGTCATAAAAGAGCCAAGGTTGCCTAACCCTGGTTTAGCCTTTTCCATTACAGTTAGTCCTTGACTTACAAACCTTCATTTAGTCACCATTCAAAGTTACAATGACACTGAAAAAAGTGACTTATGACTGTTTTTCACACTAACAACTGTTGCAGCCTCCCAAAATCCAGATGCTTGGCAACTGGCATGTACTTATGACAGTTGCAGTGTCCTGGGCTCATGTGAGCGCCTTTTGTCACCCTCTGATAAATAAAGTCGATGGGGAACCCAGATTCACTTATCAACTGTGTCACTAACTTAACAACTCCAGTGGTTCACTTAACAACTTTGGCAAAAAAGGACGTAAAATGGAGCAAAATTCACTGAACGAGTGTCTTGCTTGGCAATGAAAATGTTGGGATCAATTATGGTCGTTAAGTTGAGGACCACTTGTATCACAGATGGCCAAAACCATGGCAGTGCCCCGACCCACAGGGAGATGATTTTCAGTGACTACCTTACTCCGTAAATGACTTATGTAGAACAAATCTAAGAGAAATACACCACTGTACTAAAAGAGTCTCTTTGGAAAAAGTAGAAGAGTCTAGAAGAGAAGACTAGAAGACTAGAAGAGACAACAAGATATGGACAGTTTTTTCCCTCCTGCCATCACTCTGCTGAACTCCTAATGCTCCCACTTCTGTTTAAAGTCTATGTATATTAACCCATAAAGTGTTGCTATAGTATTATTATTTATTATTTTTATTATTTTACTATTTATTCTTTATTTTTCCCATTTGATTGGTATTATTGGTATTATTATTAATGTCTGTTGCTTTGCAGATATACTGAGTGCTTCTGTACTGGACACAAATTCCTTGTGTGTCTAATTACACTTGGCCAAATATTCTATTCCAGTGATGGCGAACCTTTCAGAGACTGCCCAAACTGCAACCCAAAACCCACTTATGCATCGTCGAGTGCCGGGTGGGTGTGGCCCATTGGCTGGGTGTGGCCCATTGGGTGGGCGTGGCCCATTGGGTTGGTGTGGCTGCGGTGGGAACGGCAGACTGGGTGGGACTAAAAAGTTCAATCAATCAATTCCAACTTTGCAAGATCTTTTTTTTCCTGCAAGAAGTTGAAATTGACTGATTGAACCTTTTTTTGCACATGGCGATGGAGGCCTAAAGCAAAAAGGTTTTATAAAACCCAACTGAAAGCCTAGGACTGGGGCGACGGCACGCGTGCCCACAGAGAGGGCTCTGAGTGCTGCCTCTGGCACCCGTGCCATAGGTTCGCCACCACTGTTCTGTTCTATTCTATTCTATTCTGTTCTGTTCTGTTCTGTTCTATTCTATTCTATTCCATTCTATTCCATTCCATTCCATTCTACTCAGTTCAGTTCAGTTCAGTTCAGTTCAGTTATTTAGCAATGATCCAAATGTTCTAATAAAGAAAGATGCAAATGTCTCTATTATATTTTTGTTAATATTATATTTTTTTCTCCATGGGCTATTACCTCTTTTCTACATGCCAAAACCAGGATACAGGATGCTTTCCAAACTGAAGCACATACTCTGGTTTACTGAAGATGGGGAGGGTACTGCCCCCAGTAGCCTTAGGCAGCATAGCTAATATTGAATAATGGAAACACTGTAGCTCATCAACGTTCAAAAGCTTCATAGGTTTCATATCCTTGATTAAACGGGGAGCCAGGAGTTTATTGGGCATATCTTAAGGAGAGGGTGGGGCGAGCTATCCCCACATGACACATTTTAGTTCTTTTATGACAATAAACCACAGAAAAGTGACAAACAATTTTATAACTCTTGCCTTGTCCCAAAGATGCTTTTTCACGAGGCAACTGGACTTCTTTTTCTTTGAAGACGTTTCGCTTCTCATCCAAGAAGCTTCTCGTAAGACCCCACATCAGCTAACCACCCAAGAAAGCATAACTCTTTGAGGCAGGCATTGTCTCAAAAGGAAACTTTTATTAGGGGTTAGTGACAGTAGGGAAGTCAAGGCGAGATCTGGGGAAAATCCCGCTCAAACAGTATAGTTAAACCAGCAATCTTCCTCCTCCCACCAAAGTCATAATGTCCATTTGAAATCCGGCCAATTGACATGTGTCATGATGTGTGGGTAACTGGCACAGTTGGCATGCATTTCAAGGTCTACTCCAGTTTCGTTTCTCTGTAACCATCTCCCTAACAAGGGAGACACATTCCTTTCTCACATGGATAGAAGCAGGAGAGGAAAATAATTGTGAAAGCAATTATTCCCCCTCCCCCCAATAGATTGGCAGGCCCCAAAACAAGAGCACAAGAGTATATATGCAAGGAAATCAATAAGTATTTGGGGACCTGACACATCTTCAGCTCTAACTGGATGGTAGGAAATGGAAGGATTTATACTCCTTGCAGATAGCTGGTCATTTGCATTCTTTTAGAGAGTCATTCAGGCCATCTGGAGGTTTATCTGTGTCGTCAGGGTCACCTGAGTAGTGCAAATGGGTATGGAGCCTTCTTGGAACTGTGGAAAGGAAAGGAAAGGAAAAGAAAGGAAAGGAAAGGAAAGGAAAGGAAAGGAAAGGAAGGGAAAGGAAAGAAGGCTCCACACCCATTTGCACCACTCAGGTGACCCTGATTACACAGATAAACCTCAGGCATCCTCAATGACTCTCTAAAAGAATGCAAATGACCAGCTGTCTGCAAGGAGTATAAATCCTTCCATTCCCCACCATTCAGACAGAGCTGAAGAAATTTCTTGGATGAGAAGTGAAACATCTTCAAAGAAAAATAAGATGTCCAGTTGCCTTGTGAAAAAGCATGTTTGGGATAACCATGACCTGGATGACTGAGATTCTCCACAGACAGCTCTTGCCTTCTATATCTACTTCCTGAACCTTTATAGCTTCACTCCACCCAACAGCCAACTTATTCTTCTGCTCTTACATTCTGGTCCACCTCTCCTGTTGAACTTTACTCTTCTTGCTCCATCAACCCTTTCTCTCAAAAGTTTCCTGCTTCCTCTTTTGTTTCCTTCAATCCCCATTTCAAAAGTTACTTCTGCAGGAAGTGCTTGGTTGATCGTTCGTGATACTGATTTTAATTGGAGGTTGCAAGACTAATGAGAGGTATTTCTCTCATTAGCCTTGCAACCTCTAACTGAAAGTCAGTATCAAGGAAATATCAAGGAATACCATTTGTCCGAAATGGTATAGGGTTACCTGCCTGAGCAGGGGGTTGATGGAGGTCAACTTCCAACTTTATTATTATTACTATTACTATTACTATTATTATTATTATTATTATTATTATTATTATTATTATTATTATTATGGATCATCGCACAGTCAGCCAGATGTTCAGACTGGATTTGGCATTTTGTCTACCTGTCGAGTCCTTACCAAGGACCTGGGATAGGCAGATAGGCTGCCTTTTGCAATTGACTAATGGTGAATTGTCGATGCCAAGTGTGTTCAAGTGTTGCTCCAGTTGTTTTGGGATTGCACCCAAGGCACCCTCTTATTATTATTATTATTATTATTATTAACCACCAGATGTGGCTACTATGTTCATTCCAACAATCTCCAACTAGAATACTTCTCAGTTTGAGGCAGTTATTTGGTCCTAACTACATTATCCCAAATAATATGACACATTTTGAAATATTTCTTCAAAAAAAAATACCTCATTTAGCTCTTTTTGTAGATTGTCTTGCTGCTTTTCCAGAATAAGTATCTGAGTTTTCTTTATTTCCAGATCCTTGATGCACTGTGCATAAGCTGACTGAAGCCTATTAATATATATATATATATATATAAATATAAATTTCAAGCTCCCCACCCAAAGCAAAGATATTTAAATAAAGTCAGAGAAGATATAAGAAATGTCTTCCTGGAATAACTTATTATTTCCAGTTTTTGAGAAAGTCAGAGGTTTTTTTTCCTCCTACTACAATAAATGTGATACATCAATTTTCTTCTCAAGAGCTATTCACAGGAATATACTTACAATAAAAATACACTTTTGTAAGTAAAAAATAATACAAAGACCTGACCTTACAAAAATGATTGCTAAAAAGCAGTATCAATTATAGTGTACAATGTAAACTTTTTTTACCAATTTTCCTGATGTATTTTTAGTGTATAGAACACATTATACTATAAGTCTCTATACAATCTTTATAGCTAGGGTAGTAATTGTCTAATAGTTTCATAGAATCCGGTGATGTATCTCTGACGATGCCTAATAAGAATGAAACCAGTTACACACTGCCTTCCCAGTGGTCAGAGTAACTAAAATCAGAAGACAGGATACACACTATAAAAATAGAGAAATTCTTTCCTCCTTCCAGGATGATAGTGGTGGAAATCTAATCTCGCACAGGCGCAAATAAAGCTTTGTGTGCATATCCGCCACTTTTGCAGCCCAGTTCCCACTGATTCATGGACCGGTACCGGTCTGTGGCCCGGGGGTTGGGGACCATCGATGTAAAACATCAAACATGAAGGCATGACATATTGCAACATTTGTATATCTTCTGAGAGTTTAAGAGAAAATGGATTGCATAAACCATTCTAACTGATTCTGGAAAAAAAATGCAATTTGCTTTTATTTGTATTCTGCACTTAAAATGTATCTTGATCACAAGTAGAAAGCTCTGCATCCTTACTTAAAAGTAAGCGCCATCAAAGCTACCGAGACTTACTTCCCAGCTGGCCTACTGCCATGTAACCAGCTTTTGAAGTTTAGATGTACTGTTTCAATACATACTTCACTTGGTTTTCTTCTTTGTTTTTATACTCTTCGATTTTGGCCACTTCCTTTCGCAACTGCTGGCATTCCAGTTCCACCATATTTAAGAGGTCTTCACGAGACTGCAGTTCGTTCCTCACTTCTATGAGTCTGGCTTCAGTGTTCTAAATAAAGCCAAACACCGCACTCAGTTCATTTGTTCACTGATAACTTGCCACTTCACGACTCTGTGACGTTCAGAGCTCTTTTGCGTGGCCTTTAATGCTGATATTCCAGGGAACCAAAGACACTTTTCATTTGGAAATTAGACTTCACATTTTTTATATAAAATTTTGAGCTGCCAGGTTCTCTCTGTAGGAAGATCGCTTAGAAATAAAGCAAATAAGGTGCAAGCCTTTTTTATAATAAAATGGGGCCTTTTGAGATACTTACTTCTAAGAAAGTTCACACAGGTTCATGTTAGTAGAATTGTACACATTGAAAACTCATGTCCTGATTACAACAATATGGTTAACATGAAGGATGTGCTATGCACATGTATCAGTTGTAATCCAAAACAATTTATGGGACTGGATATCCTGAAAAGCACTTCAGAATGACATTACATTCAATAATTCAATCACATATCACCTCACACAACAGACTGCATATATGTTTTGCATCAGTTTAATAACATGGCTTCCCCAAAGATATCTTAGGAGTTGAGATTTGAAGAGGGTGTGGAGAATGCTTGGGCAGATATCTTTACTTCTCCCTCCCTCCCTCAGATATAACCTGCAAGATTTTCTGGTGAGTGGCAATGACTAGTAATAGAGACAGTAAGAATGGAATTGACAATAGGGATTATCAATTTCATGCTGGAGACCGTTTTTTTTATTGACCCCAGTATGTGTGGTGGCATTTTAACTTGTAGTTGGTAGAGGCCCTAGAAGAGGGAAGCCACACATTTGGAACTCCTATTTAATTCGCTATTTCTACACAAAATTAATCTGACATTGTAAACTTATAAAAGCTTCTTTCTCTTTCTCTCTCACTCTCTCTTATCTATCTCTCCCAATATCAAAAATTCATTAAAAAAAATCATATAGAAGTGGGATGCCCTGGCTTTGTTAGTCTGTCTTTCTGAACTATGAGATTGAAAAAAGGTCAATTCCTGAATTTTCTCTGGATTAAAAGTTGGAGTAGAAAGTCTTTGCCTGGTTAGTTTGTGAGTGCAGCCCCTCGTGCCAGATAAATCACAATACTTCAGGTTGCTTGCCAACTGCAGAGAGATTTGCATTCTAATTTCTGTCATGTGCATTAAGAGATACCTCAGTTCTTGCCTCTATTCCAGGGTAAAAAGTGTTGGTCCTTTGGAGGAAAAAAAAAACCCCGAGGGTGAAGTTGCGAACTGAGGTCCCAGGAAAAGCATGGACCTAATATCCTTCTAAGCAGTCTCTGATTAAAATGTGGAACTTTCTAAAAATCTGAGAAATGCCCATATCATTCAGAAGGAACATCTGTTTTCCATTCAGAGAGAACATCTGTTTTCCAGAGAATTCTTGAATGGTAGATTTGTGGAAAGAAAGAGATCTTTCGAAACATTAGAGAATATTGGAAAAGTTGCCTTAATTGGGTTATTAGGAAGAGAAGCTTCATTCCTTGAGGCTGGAATAAACTGTTGCAGCAGTCAGGGAGTTGCTGTTAGCAGCTTTGCCTCTATTGATTCAAAAAAAGCAATCTCTCCCCACTTCCAGTAGGAAACAATAAAGTTAAATGATAATGTCCAGGTTTATGTTCCTGGTAGACATTACTGGAAAAGCAGTAAAGCTACAGCTGTTTTTGGCAGAAGTTTTGAGTTTCCTTGTTGCCAAGTGGCAGCGTGGGCATGGAGAGTGCTTATCCGTAAAGTAGCTGAGGGTCAGACCCGACTGAATGGCTCACTGCAGCTACAATATTTTGCACAACTTCTGCTTCTTCTGCTTCTAATGGATCGAAAGGGAAAAAAAACCCAGGCACTGTTCTTGTAAATTCAAGCTCAGTGATCCTTGATGAAAGTTTTATTTGGGTTGCAGGACAGAGAGAAAAGAAGACTGCTTAAGTCAGAGATATTGCAACAGTAATGAGGGACAAAATGTTGGATTAGGGTGGGGGGAAAACCCACAACACAACTTGGCTATAACTAGAGGCATTCCTTACATGTTGACAGCTGTAACTCTTCTATTTTCCATCCCAGGAAAATATATATGAGAGGGTTTGGGTTTTTTTTTTTTTTTTTTTAACTTTGCATTATAAACCCTCCTGGCTCCTAAAGGAGCAATCTGCAGGATTTAAATAGGAGATCAGCTTCCTAGTCCCACCTCCTCACAGATTCTTCTTTTGAATTCTGGATACAGTTTATTGTTTTCCCAAATCTTTCTTATTTCATAGTAAGACTTTGGGAAGGGGAAAACTGTTGAATATCAAGAAGTGATGTTCATTTATTCATTCATTCTAAGCTTGGTTACTGACAACTTATATCGATCTACCTATGCAATCCAAGAGATTCTAAACTCCTTTTCTTTGGGCAAAGCTGGTTACATCCATAATACATAGCTGTGACCACTTATATGTCCTATCAGCATTCATGTGCTCACAACTCCTTCTAGATTGGTGGCAGCACCCAGAAATCATTTACATAAAATATTACAAAGCAACCGTTTAGAAACAACAACCTTTACCTGGCATTTTCTTTGGTACATTTTTACTTCCTGTTGGAGCTTTAAATTTTCCTCTTGTAGTTTGTTTCTGCTCACCGCTATTTCGCTCACAGTTGATTCAAGTTTTTCCATAAAGAATTTGTTCCTATCAGCGGGCTCGGTAAAAGCACCGTTCTGGACACCAAGTGGCTCATTTCTGTACTGGCTGGAGGTATCCCCATCATTTTGCGTCAGCTTTTGACAGTGTATTTGGATTTTACAATTTTGAGCTTGTTTCTCAAAAAAAAAACAAAAAACAAGAAAACAGTTGCATGAAATTCATTGCTTTGGGAAGAGCAGTATTTCTCTCCTATTCATAAATTTATACTGCTACAGAATACTGGCACTTCAGAACTGTAAGTCTATTTATTTAGAACAAATTTCAGTAAGAGATTTATAAGAAATGCCCTTGTAGTACCAATCATTTCTCAGTCTTGGACTAGCCCAAACTTCTAACAGAGCAAAGTTTTCCATGTAAGCCCAATGATCTCCCGAAGTAAGACCACGTGGGGGAAAAAACTTGCAGTTATGATCAACGCATCAACAACTAATTCTCCACTGAGTGAGAAAGAAATGCAGATTTAATGCACAGTATGATGCTTTGTCTAATTATTTCTCCCCGGTCATACTTACAACTAGAATCAATCACCAGAAGAAAGAAGCAGCTGGGACTTGAGTTAAGAGAAGCTTAAGTTTCCCCAACACTGTGCAAACTGTGCAGAGGCCTGGTGGCGCAGTAGTTACTACTTCTGCTAACTGCCGGCAGTTCGGCAGTTCGAATCTCACCGGCTCAAGGTTGACTTGGCCTTCCATCCTTCCGAGGCCAGTAAAATGAGGAGGACCCAGATTGTTGGGGGCAATGTGCTGACTCTGTAAACCGCTTAGAGAGGGCTGTAAAGCATTGTGAAACGGTATATGTCTAAGTGCTATTGCAATCCTATATTGTAGGAATGAGTCCTTGTCTTACAGCTTCTTTCTTTCCTCAGAGTCATATCCCCCTTGTATTTAAGTACAGCATGTTGTATTTATTTCAATCAATCTACATGGCTGTCTAACGCATAAGCAGAAACTCTAGCTAACTAATAAACGTTGTGCCTTGACAGCAAGGATTTCCTTCGTTGTTTGCATAAACAGATCTATGAATGAGACAGGCTTAAGTCACCATTTAGCTGTATGGTAGAAGGGCAGGATTTTCTCCTTTATTTCAATACTACCCAAGGATAACTACAAGGAATATAATATCTGTTATACAGGTAGTCCTTGACTTACAACCACAGTTGAGCCCAAAATGTGTTGCTAAGCAAGACAGTTGTTAAGTGATCCCCCCCTTTATCACCTTTCCTGCCACAGTTGTTATGTGAATCACTGCAGTAGTTTTTGCTTGGCAGAAGGTCACAAAAGATGATCACATGACCCTGGGACACTGCAAGCGCCATAAATATATATGAGCCAGCTGCAGGCAACTGAATTTTGACCATGGGACCATAGGGATGCTGCAACGGTTGTTTTTTTCGTGCTGCTGTAACTTTGAACGGTCACTAAACAAATGTTGTAAGACGAGGATTTCCTCGCCTTGGGCTTTGCATTCTAACATCTTGCAGGTTAAGTTAGGTGAATCAGCAATGGGTAACCATTAGAGTAAGTCATGGGAGTGTTCGGAGGCAAGGATATACCTCTTTCCCTCTGGGCACCAATAAGCCGCCGCTGCAGCCATTTTTAATCCACCCTTTGCCTTTTCTGTATTATATCTCTCACCTCCCACCTTCTGTCTCTCTTGGTTTCCAACAAGGCAGAGGAAAGGAGAGCAAATCTTCACTGTACGATGTGGAGAAGAAGACAGAGAAGGTCTGGGATTTAGTTGCTACTTTCCTTAGTTGGAGAAGAAAGGTTGCCAGCAGCTAGTTGGCGTCACCACTTCCATTTTGCAGGACTTAAGCTAGTTCCCCAATCGTGATAGGGTCTGCCTCTTTCCCCTCGGGGCTCTTTCTGCCCTGGTGTTTTCCAAACCTGTCTTCATTTCATCGTCTTTTTGTTTGAGAAGGGCCCAAATTTGGTATATGAGGAGAGGCTGATCTGCCAACCTAGAGCAGTGATGGCGAACCTTTTAGAGACTGAGTGCCCAAAGTGCAACCCAAAACCCACTTATGCATGGTCGAGTGCCAGGTGTGTGTGGCCCATTGGCTGGGTGTGGCCAATTGGAGGGCGTGGCCCATTGGGTGGGCATGGCTGCAGTGGTAATGGCAGACTGGGTGGGACTAAAAGTTCAATCAATCAATTCCAACTTTGCAAGAACTTTTTTTTTCCGCGAAAAGTTGAAATTGACTAATTGAACCTTTTTTTTTTTTTTTGCACACAGTGGCGGAGGCCTAAAGCGAAAAGGTTTTATAAAACCTAGATGAAGGCCTAGGACTGGGGCGACGATGCGCATGCCCACAGAGAGGGCTCTGAGTGCCGCCTCTGGCACCCGTGCCATGGGTTCGCCACCACTGACTTAGAGAAATCAGATCCTTCTAATTCCTGTTGCAGTGCTCTGCCTGATGGGTGTTTTCCATGCTAAGTGGCGTAGTATTGAAAGGAGACTGTAGCCGCTAAGATGAGAGAACCAATCACCATGCGTCCTAGTCAGAACACCACCATTCAGCTATGGCAGGATGGAGACTGTCCGTGGGGATAGCACATTTTATACCAATCTATTTTTAAACAAAAAAAAAACAAACTCAAAGATGGATAGAGAGCATCTTCACCTAGCAGTGGGGAATGTCCTTCTAGCTGCTGCCATTTTTGATTTATGGTTCTGATAGAAGCAATACCTGGTTTGTTGGAAGTCACTGGTTAAGGCTGGGCGTACTGCTTTATTAGTGTGCTCTAGTCTCTGTTCTAAAAAAACTTGCAGTCTGATCAAGGGAATGTAGAAACATACCCCCTCCTTGAATATCTGTATGAGTTATAGGGATATCCGTGAGTGGAAAAAGCACTTGAAGTGATTGAGATACAGTCCTTGCTATTAAAAATGTGATTTGTCTGCTTGTACAAAAAAAAAATTCCTATAGCATCACATTCCTGGAATATTTAAATGTGACGAACCTCATTTGCAAAGATATCTACATATTCATTTTTAAGGCTTAGAAAACGTGGGTGAATATATATATTCTGTTAACTATTTATCTAGGCTTCACGGTTCATTTAATTCCAATTCCTCTTAGAGAAGAAGCAAAGAATGGTACCTGGAACAGATTGCATTTCTCAGACAATAATTTTCGCTGAGCATCTAAAGAAACCAAATGATTTTGATACAGTGTTTCCTGCTTATCCCACTCGCTTGATTTTGCTCTAAATTCCTGAAAGAGAAAAGCAGACACAAAAAATCAATCAAATTATTGAAAGTATCTACGTTCTCTTTATATTTCTTAAAAATGAATAACCGGTGCAACCTTCAGTATAAAGGGCCTTTGCACTTAAAAGTTCTTGTATAATACATTGTTGTTAACAATTTGGATGGTCCTTGCCAGGTGCAAAGCACATTCTTCGCCATTAATAACACTCGGCACTTAAGTGTTCAAAAAGCTCAGTATGCAAAGATGCATTCTCACATAGAGCCATGCTTCCTCCTCCACCATCCCTTCAAATGACAAAGCGCTTGCCCTTGTTCACATACATCAGCCTGAAGCAATGAAGCCGGGCTGCAATTCCTCTAGTTGCGATTCATTTGCTGGACCCCACAGAGGAGCAGAGTTCTGCTGTGGTGCCGCTATGAATGCACTCTTGCGTGTATTCAAAAATATTTGTCATATCAGGCTTATGGGCCCCCCGCTTGGAAAGCTATTCAGAGCATTAGGCTAAGATAGGCGATCAATCCCCAAACGGTAATAGGTGAGATGGGGCTCACTTCGGGTCTACCGCTGGCCTTTTCATTGGAATTATCCATGCCGACATTAAGAGTCAGGGATGGCATGAGCAATTTTGTTCTTGAAGGAGGCTTGCTAACCTGCCCAACAGCAGGCCTTTGATGGTTTCATCATATCCCTGCCAGCTTTCATCTTAATAATCTATCTGCTTCCAGGAATAGCTCTTTGGGATGAATACTTGAGGATGCGCTGTCCCAACTGGACATGATAATGTATTTTCACTTGTGCTTATTCATATGCAGTATGAGATTTGGGCCATTTGTTATTCACCCATTGTTTTGTCTGTTTTATAGCCTTGGCATCCTTACCGAATAAGGATCTGCAAACAATTGCATTGATACAGCCTCCATTTTATCACCCTATAGCAGGGGTCTTCAAACTTGGCCCTTTTATGACTTGTGGACTTCAACTCCCAGAATTCCTCAGCCAGGCACGCTGGCTGAGGAATTCTGGGAGTTGAAGTCCACAAGTCATAAAAGGGCCAAGCTTGAAGACCCCTGCCCTATAGGGTGTGTGTTGGACTATAGCTATCCATCAATCATTACATATGAGCATCCACAGTTCTTCTTACCCAAGGACACCTTTGTAAATCCAACATCCTAGTGAAGGAGATACTAATCTAAAGTTCACGAAGAAGACCGGTCATGTTAGTAGCCTCAGAAAAAAAATCTTAATTCTAGATCTCCAGATTTGCCTTTAGTGGAAACTACCAGGATCAGTGTGGTGAGACAATAACAGAGAGCCACGGGTGGTTGTCATACCAGTCATTATGTTTACGAATGGAGTTCAAAAGGCATCTCCAATGATGAATTACCACAACACATTGGTTTTGGGCAGGCGTAGGCAACCTTGGCTCTTTTATGACTCGTGGACTTCAACTCCCAAAATTCCTGAGCCAGCATGGCTCAGCTTGGAAACCTCTCCATTTCCCCTCAGCATGGCCGGCTCAGGAATTCTGGGAGTTGAAGTCCACGAGTCATAAAAGAGCCAAAGTTGCCTACGCCTGGTTTTGGGATTTTGAACACCATTCCAGAAATCAGCATATCCACATCCAGCAGGGATAATGACGGGCAGGGGGATGAATATGATGATGATGATATTGTCCATTCACTCGTCTCCGATTTTTGGCAATTCTATAGGTCAGGTCTCTCCACATCTTCCAATCTTCTGCTACTTCTTTGAGCTGTTCGATGCTCTGGCTGGTGTCAGCTTTGATGGTGTCCAGTACCGTGTTCTTTGGTGGTTTGGTTTCCTTTTATCACTAACTCTTCCCAACATAATTGCTTTCTCCAGTGAATTCCCCCGCATGACATGGCCAAAATAAGTGAGACACGGTTTTGTGATTTTTTTTTCTTCCACTGACATGTCTGGTGTTATGCACTCCAGGACTTGTTGGTCACCTTTGCTGTCCAAGGAACACACAGAAGTCTTCTCCAGTACCACAGCCCAAATAGGTTGATGAATATATAATAAAACCAGTGATTTATCTCTCTAGCCCAGGGGTAGACAATCTTGGCTCTTTTATGACTCGTGGACTTCAACTCCCAGAATTCCTGACCCAGCATGACTGGCTCAGGAATTCTGGGAGTTGAAGTCCACGAGTCATAAAAGAGCCAAGGTTGCCTACCCCTGCTCTAGCCCAGGGGTGTCAAACTTGCCACATCATGTGATGTGTCACGACATATCGTGCGTTTTTTCCCCTTGCCGGAGGTGGGGTGGGTGCGGCTTCCGTGTGACGCATCCGGCCCGCGGGCCAGCAGTTTGACACCTCTGCTCTAGCCTAAGACAAGTACACTCAAAACACACCCTTGAATGGGGTTTTCTATCATTCTTTCCTGCAGTAAAGTTCTGCCGTTTTGCACTTTTCTGCAGCTGCCTCAGAAGCCTGTAAACAGCTCTTCCCTGCTTTGCTTTCAAGCTAAGAACAAATGCAAAAGCTATTCTTTCATCCCTTACAGAATAAAAGACAAGGCTGCCTTTGAAAGGGGCATTTCCTTCAGCTCTTTCTGCCATGGAGAAGAGAAATACACATACTCTGTTTTGAAACCACTGTCTTTTGAAGCAGCTCTGGGGAAACTTGTAAATTTGGGTTGGCAAAATGCACATTCTATGACACAAGGACAGCTCCAGCAGTAGATCCAGCAGCAAATTAGCAATTAAACACTACTGGTTGAAGAAACTCAGTGAGCAGTGCTCATCAATGTCTCCCTATGCTTAGGATCCATTGATAGAATCTCTCCCTCTGTTCTGGATCCTAAACTAAGATGCTTTGTAATTCAAGACCAGACAGATAACTCAACGAAGATGGTTACACTGACTTATTAACATAGAATTCACTGAACAGCTAAAACGACACTACACATAAGCCATCTCTTAAGGAGACAGCATTTAACCCTATAAATGCCAAACATTCTAACATACAGATCTATATGCTCTGGTCAGGGTTATATTGATCCAGCACACTCTCCAAACTGCAGATACCCAAATAATGTATTTTATATACTCAGGACATATACATCTAAGGGGTCCTTGGTGCTCTCTGAGCTTGGTTGTTTTTTTGCAGATGTTTCATTACCCAAACTAGGTAACATCATCAGTGCTAGTAAGGAGTGCTAGTAAGAAGTGGGAGCAAAACCCACTCCTTACTAGCACTGAAGGTGTTACCTAGTTTGGGTAATGAAAGATCTGCAAGAAGACATCCAAGCTCAGCGAGCACTAAGGGCCATTCATTTCAACCCTGAGTTTCAAACATTCTTGTTTATTGGTAGTTTATAAATCTGTTGTTCCCAAATTAAGCTGGCAGCTGAGAGGTCCCCTTCCCCTTTCCCCAAAATACTCATTACTTTTCTGTCCCTAAGACATTTATTCGTTTATTTTATTAATGCACGTTTTGTGTGACTGGATGTCATGTAGCCCAACACAAGCGTACAAAATGAACACAGAACATAGAATAATACGGTTGGAAGGGACCTTAAAAGTCTTCTAGTCCAAGTCCCTGCTCAAGCAGGAGACCCCATACCATTCTGGACAAATGACTGATCAATCTCTTCTTGAAAACCTCCAATGATGGAGCTTCCACAACTTCCAGAGGCAAGCTATTCCACTGACTAATTGTTCTCACTGTCAGGAAATTTCTCCGTAGTTTTCGGTTGGATCTTCCACCCGTTACTTCTTGTCCTGTCGTCAGGTACTCTGGAGAAGAGGCTGACCCCCTCTTCTCTGTGACAGCCCCCTCCCTCAAGTACTAGAAGATTGCAATCACATCACCCCAGTGCTTCTCTTTGTTAGACTAGACCAGGGGTAGGCAACCTTGGCTCTTTTATGACTCGTGGACTTCAACTCCCAGAATTCCTGAGCCAGCCATGCTGAGGGGAAAGGGAGAAATTTCCAAGCTGAGCCATGCTGGCTCAGGAATTCTGGGAGTTGAAGTCCACGAGTCATAAAAGAGCCAAGGTTGCCTACCCCTGGACTAGACCAAGGATGTGAAACTTGCAATGTCACGTGATGTGTTGCAACTTTTTCCCCATTGCCGGCAATGGGGTAGGCGTGGTTTTGGCGTGACGCATCCGGTCCACGGGCTGGCAGTTTGACACCCCTGGACTAGACATACCTAGTTCCCTCAGTTGTTCCTCCAAACCCTTTATCATCTTTGTTGCTCTTCTCTACATTCTTTCCAGGGTTTCTAGTTGTTGCAATCACTGTAACAATGTTTTCTTGAACAGTCAGGTTTCACTTCACAAATCAGCAAAATATTTATATAGCTGCCTCTAAATTTTGGAGAACACTAGCTCTAGCACACTGCAACAATCTCCCCATAGAAGTTATGGAGGATTGATACAGAAAAGTCCCCTATGAGCTGTCCCCGTGAACGAGGAAACACAGCTGGAAACACAGCTCATGTCCTGTTATCTAGTACCATCTATAAGGATTTACGGGCTCATTTTATAGCTCCTTACCTGACCAAATACCTGGGAAATTTTGATCACTGTTATGTACAGTTGCTACTATCACATCAGTATGATGCAGTTTCTTTGAACGTAGCTAAATTCTGCTATACTGTATTGTCTGCAAAATTAGGCAGACTGGCCATTATCAACAGGTGGCCAAATTTTACAGACAATATAGTAGAATTTAGCTACGTTCAAAGAAACTGTATCATACTGATCTGATAGTAACAACTGTACATAAAAGAATCCATAGTTACCCTAAGTCTCAAAAGATATATGATATTAATGAGGTGTGATTGATAAATATGCAATCTACTCAAGTGGTACTCTAATGAAGGGGTAGGCAACCTTGGCTCTTTTATGACTCGTGGGCTTCAACTCCCAGAATTCCTGAGCCAGTATGGGGGAACTTTGGCCCCTTCATGACTTGGGGATTTCAATTCCCAGAATTCCTGAGCCAACATGGCTCAGCTTGGAAACCTCTCCCTCTCCCCTCAGCATGGCTGGCTCAGGAATTCTGGGAGTTGAAGTCCACGAGTCATAAAAGAGCTAAGGTTGCCTACCTCTGCTCTAATGCATTCCAAATACATGTCTAAGTCCCTGTTCCTGTCATATCTTGGTGTGCTTTTAATTTTAAGTTAATGGACAAGACCACAGTTGTCCGGCAGATGCTGCAATCATGTCCTTCATGTAACCATTACCAAAATGATATCACGGTATACCTGATGTCAGGTGTTTCCCTTGTTCTACTCTATCCTGTGGCTTGCCCATGAAAGGGGCAATCAGAATGGGTGGGAGAGGCAGACCTTTCTATGCCTGTGTCAAGTTCCTGTGACACACATTAGTTGCTTATGCTTCTGGTTTGCCATCAAAAGTTACATGAAACATGCCCTTCCTTTCTGAGTCTACAAACAAAACAAATAAACAGAAGCTAGAATCATTTTTTTCTCAGAGGATAGCCAAAGAACGCCATACCTGATTAAAGGTGAAAGGAGACTGACTCTTGCAAGTCTCCAAAGACAAATAATCTTATTTTCCCTTCCTGTCCCCTGGCTTGATCTTGGAGTACAAGGTTTGCAAAAGAAGCATTACTTCAAACAGAGATCCTTACCTCCAATTTCTGGTTTAAACTGTTCATCTGGAAAGGTGCTTCTTGGTTTTCTGTGCATTTCTCCATGTTGCGAGTTTTATTTTGCTTTAATTGGTGCAACTGTAGCTTTTCATAGCTTTGTGTCAGCTTAGCAAACTAAAAATAAGCGAACGCCAAGAATATATTATTTCTTTCTTAAAAATTGATGGCAGAATGGGCTAAGGCAGTTAAACTTGAATATTATAATTAGCCATACTTCTTTTTTTTTTAATTGTGCCACCTATTACAACTAAGCAGTTAAGGGTGAACACAGGTGAACTTTCTTACAATTTGTGGTATCAATTAATTGCATGATTAAACAGTATTTATTTGGTTTATTATACCTCTGTGTAAAAGAATTTCTACCTAGTGTTTGTAGGAAAAGTTTTGCATTAACTTAGCGCCATCTTCTGTACACAGGCTTAGCCTTTCTTCAAAAAATCAAAGAATTGGGTTAACTAGGATAAACTAATCTTTCAATGATCTAATACTTGCTTCCCTAGGTCAGGGGTGTTAAACTGCGGCCCACAGGCCGGTTTCATCATACCAGAGCCGCGCCCACCCCATTGCCGGCAATGGCAAGAAAGCTCCGATACATTGTGCGATGTCACATGACGTTGCGAGTTTGATATGTCTGCCCTAAGTGATAAATAACTAGCATTGGGGGAAAAATATATTTTTTTTAACCTAGCTCACAAAGTGGATCTGTGCAGTGAGAATCATTCATGTCTCCGCCTGAACACTGTGATCCCAATTCTAAACTTGTAGCAAGCAACTCAGACTAATAAAAATCGTATGTTTAAAGCGAGATTCTTATGTAAAATATATAGGTTGGTCCTGCCATTTCTGTATCTAAGAAAGGATAATTAAATACGACAGTCAGTGTCAAACATAATGACTGCAAGCACAGGAGCCTTACATTCAAAGGGGCACAGAAAGTACATTGCTTGAAGGGCTACTGATCGTTCTGGGAAAAGTAAAAGAAAGATTACATACAGATGGGGAGAGAAATACTATATGGGTGGTCCTCCTCTCAGGACCACAAACTGAGAAGAAAATTTCCATTGCTAAGCAAGACAGTTGTCAAGCGAGTTTCCTCCCATTTTATTTCCTTTCTTGCCACAGTTGTTAAATGAATCACTGCAGTTGTTAAGTTAGAATCACAGATGTTAAGTGAATCTGGCTTCCTCATTGGCTTTGATTTTTAGAAGGTCCCAAAGCCCAGGACACTGCAACTGTCATAAATACAAGTCAGTAGCCAAGCATCTGAATTTTGAACACATGACCGTGAGGATGTTGCAACAGCAACGTCACATTTTTCAGTGCTGTTGTAATTTCAAATGGTCACTAAGCAGAGGGTTGTAAGTCAAGGACTACCAGTACAGTACTTTCTTCTCCCAGATACCTTATCGAAAAGACATATCATATCTCTTCCTTACACCCCAAGTGTTGAATGGGAATTCCTGGATTTTAATGGACAAGATTAGATGCTGCCTTTGAAGGGCTACTATGCCAATCACCAAAATGTTCAGGCGAATGGAGGAATAGGGCGGACTTACATAACCATTTCCCAAGGCACAATCCAAGTACAATGGATGAACTCATAGGTGGATTGCTTTCCAGAACAAACCCATGTTCTGCATTCACACAATCACATTCCTCGGCTAGTCTGTTTGAGCACTTGAGCTTCAAGAATAAAGGGTGACTGGATTCAGACTGTGGTTTGATTGGTTTCATCTGAACAGACTGGGGCGAATCCTCACAATTAGCAATTAATCAAACATATGAATCAAACCAAATCTCCATAGATAAAAAAACGGTTCAGTCCAATTTGGGGGAAAAAGAGTAAATTTAAGTGAGAAGGAAATTATTAATCCAAATGCTAGTGAAGGATTCCATCATGACCTCTTTCGTTCCACGAATAAAAAACCCCTTAGTACTGGTAAAATTAGGTAATAATTTTTCCAAATTACTAAACTAACCTTGGAATATTTCATGCACTGTAAAATAGGAATCTGACTTTTTCCTTACTTGAGTTTTCAAGGCTTGAAGCTGTGCGTCGTAATTCTGAGCCATCTCATATTTTGACTTTTGCAAGCTGTCCAGTTTCTGTCTGAGTAAGCCCACCTGTATTTGAAAGGGGTATTATTCTGAGCCTTTAAATAAATCCGATAAAATTATTCCTACTCTGGGCTACATAAGAATAATTTTCTTCTGTTCAATTATATCTGATTCTCGGAGACTACCCTGCAGTTTTCTTGGCAAGATTTTCCAGAAGTGATTTGCCATTGTCTCCTTCCTAGGGCTGGGAGAAAGTGACTGGCCCAAGGTCATCCAGCTAGCGTAGTGCCTAAGGCTGGAGTAAACTCATAGTCTCTTGGTTTCTAGCCTGATGGTTTCTAGCCTGAAGCCTTAACCACTATACCAAACTGAGTAAAATACTGTAGGATTTCCAAATACATCCTGATAAAATCTTGGCTTGTAACACCCCAGATTTAACTGTGGTTGAACAGAAGAAAGTGTGGGGTTCCAGCTCCCAGTGGGGGAAATGGATGTTTAACTGGAGATGGTATCGCAGTTTGGTTTGCCCCACAGTTACTTGGGGGGGGGGTTTCCTTCCTCCAGATTTAAGGAGGAAACTTCAGATTGACCCATCTACCCTCCAGACTGTTGAAATGGTGGTTTCTTTGGCTGGTGAGTTGAGTGACAGGGAGACAGGGTCTGTCATCAACTTAGTGGCTGTGATGCAGCCTAAATTATGGACACTAGAATCAACATTCCTCAATTCTAATACGCTTTTTAGATCTGTGTTTCTCAGCCTTGGCAACTTTAAGATATGTGGACTTCAACTCCCAGAATTCCCCAGCCAGCACTGAAAGTCTCAGAGTTAGAATCCACACATCTTAAAGTTGCCAAGGTTGGGAAACACGGTTTTAGATTCTAATTTTGCCTTTAGTTAAAAAGAGACTTTCCTCAGATACACAGTAGGTGAGTGTTTCTCTTTGGTGGTTTATTTCTGAGGTGGTAATATTTAGAAATGTCTGAGAACTTGCCAGCCTTTTGCTTAATGAGAATTAAAAAGATTAAAATATTTAAATGGAAAGAAATAACTTTTCTTTTTTGAAAAGGTGAATAGAAAGAACTTCTTGGTGGGAAAGCTGTCTTGTTTACATACCAGTTGTAAAACAAAACCTTGAAGGCTGATTATCAAAGCACAAGATGCCTAGTTTAAAGAAAATGTTTGATTTATGGGTCTGTGAAGGGCTTGACATTTTTAACATTTGGCTGGAACCAGAAATTACTACTGAAGATGAACAAATCCCTCTTGAGACAACAGAGATGGACTCACTGGATTTTCAAGTGCAATTGGATGACCATTTAAAAATGGAAAAAAGACATTGTGGGTTACTCTTTCAAACTACTTCATGGAAACTACAAGTGACCTTGGAAGATGGTAATTGTGTCAGAAAAGGAAAAGATGCTACAAGAAAACAGGAGTCATAATTTTATTTGCAGGATTTAAGGATGTTTGGGAAGAAGGGGAAAAATAGATTTAGAATTCAAAAGGATTTGTGCACTTCTGGTACAGAAAAATACTATTGAGGAATGACGAATATCTGGTTGTCCCTAACCTGATCCAGATCTCTGCATACAAATCTTAGTTATCAGAAGGGGGAGAGTAGAGAGATACACCTTTGCATGCAAAATAACTCATCAATAGGCTCACTTTTTATTTTTTAAATGCTGATGCAGTCCCATCCATTCTGCACAAACACTGTTTAGCAGGAGCCAGAATGCCTTTCCTTCCCTCCAGCCTGCTCTGTCGAAACCTAATTATTTTATAGAGTCTATCTTTTTGAAAAGAGGATAAATAATGCAAAATATCAGTTATATTTATTCTATTGCCTGGTTCACACATTTTGCTACATTATGTTTCTGTCTGGTTTCGGCTCAGCATGATGCATGAACCCATTATGGCTTAGCATTCTGTGCGGAAAAAGCCTCCGCAGCTTGTGCAACACAGTATTATTTTAAAATGGTATATCGTTATGTATGAATGCAATCCATGTAGAAAGGTTAGATAGGAGGCCCTGGCTATACTATTTTTGTTCTGGAACATTTTATACATGGTCTGTTAAACTTCCAAGAAAAAAAAATAACATCCAGAAAGATCAGGAAAATATAGCTGAGAGAATGCCTGATCTCTCTCTCTCTCTCTGTGTCTGTCTCTGTGTCTGTCTGCCTGTCTCTCTCTCCCTCCCTCCCTCCCTCCCTCCTTTGTGTGTGTGGGGGTAGCTGGATAGTGTAGTGGTTAGAGAGCCACTTTTCACATTCACAGGGTGTGAATCCTGGCTTACCAATTGGGATCCTTGGGCAAAGACCTCCCATACTTCACCTGACTGCCTCAAACACAAGAGTGACACAAACTAGAAGAGCCATGCCACCTGGGACATCATTGGATTAACAATAGCTGCGTCAGATGTGGGGAAAAGGAGACAATCGGATGATAAGTGGACTAGCTTAATGAAACCATACATGATCTAGCTTAAAGAAAAGAAGAACTAAGGGAGACATGATAGCAGTGTTCCCGTAACCCTAACCCTAAGGGGCTGCCACAAAGAAGAGGGGGGTCCACCTGTTCTCCAAAGCACCTGAAGGCAGGAGAAGAAGCAATGGATGGAAACTGATCAAGGAGAGAAGCAACCTAGAACTCAGGAGAAATTTTCGGACACTGAGATCAATTAATCTGTGGAACAACCTGCCTCCAGAAGTTGGGAATGCTCCAACACTGAAAATTTTTAAGAAGGGAACTGAATAATCATTTGTCTGAAATGGTATGTAGTCCTTCATGTTGTTTCCTTGGCAACAACAAGGAAAAAAGGCTACCCAATCTACTGATTCTATAAGCCTGGGACTTCCTCTGGACTTCCATCCTACAATTAACCAGGCTGGCTTCTGTTTATCTTTTTTTTGAGATCATCCAAGGCAAATTATTGCATAGTCCCTCCCATTCAATGCAATATTCACAAGATAAATGATGCAATATTACCTCTTGACCTTTCTGATCTAATTTGCTTTGGGCATTTGCTAACTCTTGATCCCGGATAGTCATTCTTGCTTCCAATCCCTGCAGCTTCTTTTCCCATTCCAGTTTCTTCTTGTTTACCATTATATCAATCTGGTGCATCAGTTCTTGAAGTTCAGCATCACCAGGGACAGATCTAAAAGCAACCATTTGTTTCATCCTTTAAGCGAATTAAAACATATACAGAAAATGACATCTCTCCCTCCCCATTAGTCTGTCTTTTTCTTTTGAACTTTAGAAAAGCTCTGCAAGTGAAGAATACAGGCAGTCCTCGACTTACTGTACAACAGTTCTGTGGGAAGTCAGCCGCCCCAGAGAAGGAAATATTAAAAAGGCAGAAAAATATATTTCCTCAAAGGATCTTAAAGAGGCAGAAAAGCATACCCAGTTTTCTTAATAGTCCCAAATCTCCCTCCCCCAAGCAGAAACCAGCTCTGTAGAAATGCAGATGTAAACCATTCAGGAAGGTTGAAGCTAGAAGATTAAGAAGACAAAGACACCTAAAATCTACATACCCCACCCAAACTCTAAGACAGGACATAATAGGATTAACCCACAGATGCCAAAGGGCACACTCAGACTCAGGTCAAAGTTCATGCCACAGGAACAACTCCAAACAAAAGGCTCCAGAGGGTATAAAAACCCACTCCCTACATGTGCTCTCGCTCTTTTCTTCCAGAGCCGTCTTTCTGTCTGGCTCTCCTCTTCAATAAACTGCAACCTTCTTTCTAAAGCAATCGCCATGTTGTTTAGTCCCAGCTTGGACTGAACCATAATGAAGACTTTTCTTTCAACAGTTCATTTTGTGACCGTTCAAAATTATAGCAGCACTGGAAAAAGTGATTTATGACCATTTTTCACAGTTACAACTTTGGTAGCATCCCCATGGTCACGTGATCAAAATTCAGATGCTTGGCAACTGCTTCACATTTATGACCATTGCAGTGTCCCAGGATCATGTGATCACCTTTTGTGACTTTCTGACAAGCAAAATCAATGGGGAAGGCAGATTCACTTAACAACCGGGTTACGAACAACAGTTGCAGTACTATCATACCATTTACACTGAAGCTTTTGAAGTAGCCCAATTAGAAAACAATTGAAAATGTTTTTCAACAAGATTCTTTTGATGAGGGATGAGGGCAAATGATCAAACTGTAAACCTTTTCCTAATTAGCAAGTTTATGCGTGCTAAAGAGTTTTAAAAAAAGAACATTCCTCTTCTTTGACCAGGTTTGGAAAGTAATTTCAGTAAGTAATGAGGGTCAATTAAGAAAGCCCCCCCCCCCCAGTGAAAAGCTGTTAGCCCCATCATGGCTCCATAGCCTAATAAATGAAATCTTAAATCTGTCAGTATCCAGCGTTATGGTGCTAATTAACAGGCTGACTGGCTTTTGCATCTGTAATAGTGAAACAATATGATTTGTGATTGCTGCATAAATCTCTAGAAGACGATTTCCCAATTTCAGCAACTTTAAGATGTGTGGACTTTAATTTCCCATTATTCTGGGTTGCAATGGGTTGTAATGCTATCAAGGCAATTGAATTCGTTCTTATGGAGGAAAAATACTGCGAGTTAAAATCCAGGCATCTTAAAGTTGCTGAGAAATACCGCTCTAGAACCTCTTTAGATTCTAAAGTACATTCAAAATTTAAAGAAGCTTTGAAATTTCAGGTAGTCCTCCACTTAAAGCCATTCATTGAGTGAACATTCGAAGTTACAACGGCACTGAAAAAAGTGCCTAATGACCATTCTTCACACTTACAACCGTTGCACCCCCCCATGGTCATATGATCAAAATTCAGATGCTCGGCAACTGGTTCATATTTATGATGGTTGCAGTGGCCCAGGGTCATGTGATTCCCTTTCGCGACCTTCTGGCAAGCAAAGTCAATGGGGAAGCCAGATTCACTTAACAAGTGTGTTACTAACTTAACAACGGCAGCAATTCACTTAACTGTGGCAAGAAAGGTCATAAACTCATTTGACAATTATCTTGCCTAGCAACAGAAATTTTTGGCTCAGATGTAGTCGTAAGTCGAGGACTACCTGTACAGTGTCCCATTTAGAAAAATGTTAAAAAAACTGAAGGATCACAGGCCATACTATTTGTCACTATAATGACAAATAAATAAATATGAGACAGTCCCGATCTCAATTTAATGACAAAAACCCTGTGTTAAAGGCAGACAATCAGCTCCATACCTTGGATTAATTTTCCCATCTGTAAGGAGGCCTTACAAATCTGTTTTTAAAAATGATGTACGGATTGTAGCATCTTAAATCCCCAGCACAAACGTTGTATGAAAATATGAAGTCAGCAATCATTTATATATGTGCTGGGTGTAATGTCTCAAGTTAAATTCCACTCTTAATGTCTACATGCAGGGTTGTTGTTTTTTTTTTGAGAAGAGTATGGAAGGATTTTTTTTTTAATTTTCCAACTTATTGTGGTATGATATATCCAGGTACTAATCAGGTTTGCCCTTTTTAGTTTCCAAATTCTGTCCGTATCTTCCAGATTCTGCCAATTTGTAAGGCTATTTAGAAATAAGCCTCGCTAGCTCTTTCGCCTCCTCACCGTCAAAATGACAAGGAAGAGAAGAAACAATGGCCGCGCCAAGAAGGGCTGAGGACATGTCCAGCCTATACGCCAGTGGTTCTCAACCTGTGGGTCGGGACCCCATTTGGGGTTGAACGACCATTTCACGGGGGGTTGCCAAAAAAGGCTGTCTGCCATTTTCCCCCCCTTTTCTTTGGCCACACCCCTGGCACCCGGTGATGTATAAGTGGTTGGGGGTCACCTCAACATGGGGAACTGTATTATGGGGTCGCGGCATTAGAAAGATTGAGAACCACTGCTATACACTGTACCATCTGTGCCCGTTGTGATCCCAAGGATAAAGCTATTAAGAAGTTTGTCATCCAAAATATTGTAGAAGCAGCTGCAGTCCAAGATATTTCTGAAGCGAATGTCTTTGATTCCTATGTGCTACCCAAACTCTATGTGAAGCTTCACTATTGTGTTAGCTGTGCTATCCACAGCAAGGTGGTGAGGAACCGATCCCGTAAGGCCCAGAAGGACTGCACTCCTCCTCCCCGGTTCAGGCCAGCAGGTACTGCACTGAGACCACCCCCTAAGCCTATGTAAGGAGATGTTTTAAAAGATGTCAATGCCAAATATTGAGTCAATAAATACATTTTACAAGTGAAAAAAAAATAAGCCTCACTAACCTCAGAGAACGAATCTCCACCCTCAGGAAACTATATGCTAAGTAAAATCATCCTCTCTAGCACCCATCAATCCACTGTTCACACACTGTCTGAATAGGCTACAGGTAAAATCCACCATCTGAATATTGTATACTGCAAAATACTTTTTTAAATACAATGTTTATACTATGTTTAACAATTGATGGATATGTGATAGCCTTGATTTGTTTATATATATTTTTTCCTTTGTTTTGTTTATCAGTTGGTCTTTTCTTGCATTTAGGGTATTTTTGTGTATTTTGTTGTACTGGGTTTTTTTTAAATATAACTTATTAAAAAAAGAATGCTTTTTCAGCCTCCAACTGACTCTCTGCAAGGTAAAATCAGTTCGCTGGCTGGGCTGCAAGGAAAAACTAGCTTTTCTGGCCTCTGCTTGACTTCTTGAATACGCTGTCAAGCAATATTGATGATCTGAAGTTTCCTCTTTTCCACTTGACTCTCTAAAGATCAGAGAAGCTTGAAAAGATAAGCACCAGCTACGCCCTTCTAAAGATGGGCTTCCGAGTGTGCTTTGTTATTGATGTATTTATTCATTCAATTAATTTGTGCTAATCCTAATTAATTCAGTATGTCATTTCAACGAGGGAATAAAAAGAGCCACCGTGCTCCAAAATTGATCCATGTCTTAAAGATGTCAAATCGTGGGCTGCCCTTCCACCTACCTAGCCATCATTTGTTCTTGCAGTCCTTCTAAGGTCTTCTCCATCTTGGCCTTGGTCAGATCTATTTAAAACGGAAAACAGAGGAAAAGTTTAGTTTCACTGGAAGCCCTCACCTTATGCAGAGGAGTGGAACGGGTGGGGAGGGAAAGAGCAAGCTTTCTTTCCCTTTCCAGAGACTTTCGGCGGAGCACAGAGCAAGTTCGAGTCGACAAATGCCATTTCCGAGGGAACCCGGGAATCGGGGAAGAGGTCCTCTGAGCATACGCAGAGCGCGCCTCAACATGTCCTCGGGCTGGGTTGGCGCCCTCCTTCAGGGCAGTCCAAGAGCTTACCTGGAGGGTTCTCAGGACTCTCCCATCCACCTGCGGATCCCCGCGGCTCTCGTCACGCAGGTGGGGAAGACGCCTCGCATCTCGGCCGCCCTCCCGCCGCGGCTGCCGCCTTTTGTGGCCACGCCCCCTGCGGCCCGGCGGCAGTTGCAGGAGGGGCCGGCAGGCTTCTCCCGTTGCTAGGGCGACGGGGCAACCCGCGGCGGCGAGGGCGGCAGCAGGGGAACCCCCGAGAGGGGCGGAGCCAAAACAAGTGCTGCCCAGGCTGGTGCATCTCGCTTAATAGAATCTCCGTAGAAATTCTATGGAGTATTTCTGCGCGATCCGCTGCGAGTCGGGGTCGCCGCTTTTCCTGCTCTTTGCTGGTCTGAGAGTGTGATGGCTACTGGACTGGACTGCCAGAAGAGACTGAACTGCCATCTGTCAGAAAGGGTGTAGGGTCTCCTGCTTGGGCGGGGCGGGGGGTGGACTAGATGACCTACAAGATCCCTTCCAACTGTGTTGTTCTGTTATTCTCTTACTAATGGGGGTCCATAAATCCACTAGGGAGAGGTGGGGGAAGGATGGTACATTATTGTTTTGGAACTTGTGATTTTTAGCTGATGACATCCATAAAACCGTTAATGGGGAAGTGCAAAACAGGTCTGGATTTCCAGGTAGTCCTTGATTTACAACTGTTCATTTAGTGACCGAGGTTACAACGGCCCTGAAAAAAGTGACTTAGGACCATTTTTCACACTTAGGATAGTTGCAGCATCCCCATGGTCACGTGACTTACATTTGGATGCTTGACAACTGACTCACATTTATGATAGTTGCAATGTCCCCAGGGATCACGTGATCCCCTTTTGTGACCTTCTGATAAGCAAAGACAATGGGGGAACCAGGTTCACTTGACAATAATTTAGTAATTTAAGAACTGCAGTGATTCACTTAACAAAAGTGGTGAGAAAAGTTGTAAAATGGGGTAAAAGTTACTTAACAAATTTTTCAGCAACATACATTTTGGGCTCAATTGTGGTCGTAGCTTGAGGACTACCTGTATTGCAAAAATTCCTTCTGCCGCTTCGGTCGCGTATCTAAGCAGCATAGAGCAGGTTCTGGAATACACTGGCTGTTAAAATCAAATTGGAACGGATCCAAATGATATAATAAAGAATAAAGAATCCTATATAACAGCAATAACAGTAACAATAGCAAAAACAATAGATAAAAATATTACTGTCGGGAGAAATTCAACATGTTTACAGAAATAATAGCATCATTCATCTCAGCTCGGGTTTTTATTTATTTATTAAACAAACTTACATTGCTGTCCATTTTAGCGGAAAGAAGTCTGGAAGGCAAACAAGAGTCAAAATTGAAATATTATTTTTAAAAAGTTGACATTTAAAATTGCATGGAAGGCTGCATAAAACTTGCCTTCATCGTCTGTCCTCCTTATTTCAACCTGTTCAAGGAATCTTTAAAAAGCACTGAAATGGCTGTCAGGATCTCCTATCTATTTCCCTATCCTACATGAAAAAAAAAATAGATTTGATTGGCCATTTCAATGATTGAATTAGATTTTGGCCACCTCCTTGGGTGTCAGTGTAGCCTCTGCTTATCAATCAAATCATACAGCTCCCTCTTAATTATTAAATCATTTGCAGATCATCAAGGTATTCTTAGTCTTTCCCTTCCCTTCCCTGTCAGCAAACTCTAAGCAGCTTAGAGCAAAACATACATGAGCCATAATATACAATTAGTCAAAAACTATTAAATATGTCAAATGACAGTAATAACTACCATCAACATAAAATCAGTGTAATCCGACATTTGCTCCAGTGTGTGCTTACATTTTATTACATTTATATCCTAGTGTTCAATAATAGCTTGAGGGTCTGTCATATTTAGAGGATATTAAGTAGGGGAAGAGGGTCAGGTTTGGTTGAGGTCTTCTAGTCCAACCTCCTGCTCAAGCAGGAGACACTGTACCATTTCAGACAAGTGGCTGTCCAGTCTTTTCTTAAAAAGCTCTAGTGATGGAGCACCCACAACTTCTGGAAGCAAGCTGTTCCACTGGTTAATTGTTCTCACTGTTAGGAAGTTTCTCCTTAATTCCAGGTTGCTTCTCTCCTTGATTAGTTTCCCTCCATTGTTTCTTGTTCTGGCTTCTGGTGCTTTGGAAAATAAGTTGACCCCCTTTTTTGTGGTTGCCCTTCGAATACTGGAATCTGTGCCATGAACTCAGTTCACAGTCACAATACACTCAGAAGGGGTGCTTTATGGTCCATGGTGGGATGCCTGTGCCCCTTTCCCACCCTTCTCCACCTGGAAACCTAGGCCTTTTCCCTGGTGCTCCGCTTAATGACTGCAGCTGGGAGAGCAAGGTCATTGAGCAAAGCAATTACGTGGCATCTTGCTTAAGGATCCCTTTGCTCAGCGATAAAGATTCCAAGGTCAATTGTGGTCATCAGTGGAGGGCAACTGTATAAAACAACTAGTTTGCAAAAGACTAGATTAAAATATAGTAGGATGGTTGCTGGCTGAGGAATTCTGGGAGTTGGAGTCCATTCATCTTAAAGGTGCCCAGATTGAAAAGCTAAACTTTCTCCAAACATAGTCAACTCAAGCCAACTTGGCCAACTCCATTTTTATTCTCCTGTTGTGAGCAGCCCAGCTGACTTGTGAAAATGTTATACTTTTGACATCATAGGAAGGAAAGGAAATTGTAATTCTCTGTGGACTGAGAATCAGCTTCTGATTTTGTAGCTGACAAAATAAAAGGGTATTTATTTATTTATTTATTTGTTTGTTTATCAAATTTATATAGCCTCCCACCTCACAAATCGTGATTCTGGGCAGCATACAGCAATCAAATAACAACAAAAATAAAATAATTAAAAAAATACTTAAAAGTGTTCCAGACCGCCACGATTCCGAGATATCAAAATTATTTAGTAACTGAGAGTATTTTTGTTTTCTTGCATTGAGATTCCCTAATCTAGAGCACTGATTATAGTAATAAAGAGAGATGGATGTAAGATTCGGGATTCGGTTGTGTTGAGGCATCATGCTGTTTTCCTGACAGTTGCCATTTCACTGAAATTGCTCATCTCTTATTAAACACCAGTTTCAGATCTACCAAGGGGAAGAAAATATATTCAACAAATATAAATGCTATTTTATTTATACAAAGACAGCGCAATCAGCTTCAAAGCAGCGGGGCAGATCAGTCAGGGAGGCAAGGGATGAAGGATAGCAAATGTTGACACGTGCATAAGGATGCAGTCATACAAAAACTGCACTGGAGTCACATTTTTCACGCAAACATGTAGTACAGGAACTCCTTATCAAGTGCAAGAAGCCAGGGGCCAGGATAGAGTTCAAAAGTACAGGATGTCCTTGACTTACAACCATTCTTCCATGATAGTTACAACAGTACTCAAAAAGATTTATGACCGTTTTTACGCAACTGTTGCAGCATCCCCATGGTCACGTGATCAAAATTCAGATGCTTGGAAACTGGCTTATAACAGTTGCCGTGTTCCGGGTTCAAGTGATCACTGTTTGCGAACTTCTGACAAACAAAGTCAATAGGGAAGCCAGATTCACTTAACAATCGTGTTACTAACATAACAACTACAGTGGTTGTGGGAAGAAAGGTCATTAAATGGGGGCAAAACTCATTTAACAAATGTCTTACTTCACAATAGAATTTTTGGCTCAATTGTGGTCATAAGTAGAGGTCTACCTGTTGTATGTTGTTTTATATACAAGTAGCCCTTGCTTACCAAACATTCATTCAACAACTATTCAGTTACAATAGTACTGAATAATAAAACTTATGACTGGTCCTCAAAGTTGTGTCTGTGGCAACATCCCATGTATTATTATTATATACATATGTGCTATGTAGTTGCATCTCTCATTACTTCTAAAATAACATGTCCATTTAACATAGATTTTACCTGGGCTTATTCCTTTTGTTTCTCAGCAAGTAGATTTTCTCCAATAGCACAGAATCAGTATTTCTGTCTTTTAAAAGACCCATATTTTAAACTCTATTCTGTTATTCAGATGGCAAAGATGCAATTTAGTTCTACGTTTCTGAATGGCAGCTGACATATCGAACTAGGCAATTAAATGCCAAAGAAGATGCTTCTAAAGAAAATACGCAACCATAGACAACTCCAAGGTTGCACACCATGGCAACAAGGAACACTGTTTTTCCATGAAAAGGAAGTTTAATACAAGCAGGTGTAAGAAGCAACAAGATGAATGCATAATTATGGAGAGAGCTGTTGATTTACAAGTAATTTTTTTGAATGCCAGCATTCGAAGGGATTTTAGTGATTTCTTAGATCAGACGAACCGATTGCACAATTTAAAACAAAGTTATTTCTAGATCAATGTTTTAACTTGCAAATCTTTTGGCCTTCTGGAAGGGCCTTAAAACCTGGTCTGCCAGTTGGCTTGGGGGCCCAGGGCAGGAGTCTTTTGCTGGAGGTGGTTGATGGGGTAAGACCTCGCACCTGTACCACCTGCCCCCTTGGCTTTTAGTTTCTATTTAAGTCTCTTTAATAATAACTGTTTGCATATTTATCTTTTTATCATTTTGCAAGCCACCTAAAATTGTTTTAACAACTGAAAGGAGTAGAAGTGGAGAGCCTGTCCAGTCTCTTCTTAAAAACTTCCAGTGTTGGAGCATTCACCGCTTCTGGAGGCAGGTTGTTCCACTGGTTAATTGTTCTAACTGTCAGGAAGTTTCTCCTTAGTTCTAGGTTGCTTCTCTCCTTGATTAGTTTCCATCCGTTGCTTCTTGTCCTGCCTTCAGGTGCTTTGGAGAATAGCTTGACTCCCTCTTCCTTGTGGCAGCCCCTGAGATATTGGAACACTGCTATCATGTCCCCCCTCGTCCTTCTCTTCATTAAACTAGACATACCCAATTCCAGCAACTGTTCTTTATAGGTTATAGTCTCCAAACCTCTAATCACCTTTTTTGCTCTTCTCTGTACTCTTTCTAGAGTCTCAACATCTTTTTTACATCGTGGTGACCAAAACTAGATGCAGTATTCCAAGTGTGGCCTTACCAAGGCATTATAAAGTGGTATCAATACTTCATGTGATCTTGATTCTATCTCTCTGT